TATGTATACATATACATCTACATACACATCATATACATATACACCCACACATACATCTAAGTCTGTGTGTATATGTATTGTATATATTTATAGTTATTTATACAATAGGGCAGAACAATACCACAGAAGGGACACTCGTTTTCACCAATGTCATATCTGGATGTGTCAGCTCACCACAACAACAGACTAAGTCACAGATAAAATGGGAGAGACTTGGGCGGTGGGGCACTGTCAAGTCACAGAACAGCTGTCCAGGCAGGCTTGCAAAGTAAAGTCTCCGAGGAGTAGGAGGAATCTGATTAGAGGTCGAAGGGGGGCCTGGGGCTCTCAGGACGGGATGGACTTGCCTGACCCGATCGGCTGGCAGTTGGAGAGAAAGCAAAGAGAAAAGGAAGGAGATACTTGGTAAGGCAAGAGCAGCAAGCCACGGCCGTGAAGGGAAATATGGGGAAAGGACAGAAGTGTGAGTGTGGGGTGAGGTTTCTGGAAAAAAGACCAAAAAACAGGAGATGGGAAGGGAGGAGCTGAAGATGGTCAGGGGCCAGAGTTTCACAGGGAGTTTGGAGTGGTAACCCCACTACTACACATGACACACGCTGGATTCTCACACACCACCCAGGCAGTGCAACCACACCTCCAAAATGCATACTCTGCCCCCTCTGGCTTCCCTGCTGATTTCCTCTTCTCTGGTCACCATGTCTTTCAACCCACTGGCCTTAGGGCCATCCATAGCCTCAGGGAGTATGGGGGCATAAGCCCCATGCAACTTCCTCTAGGCCTGATAAAGACAGAAGGAGGGTAAACACCAGGAGGGTTAAAGCTAAAACAGATGGCTGGAGAGAGCACTGGAGGCCTCTGGGTAATCTGGAGGGGACCCTGAGGGAGGCAGGAGGGCAGGCAGCCGGATGCCAGTGGCCACAGACTTATAAGTCTAAGAGGGGTGCCTCAGCCGGTCGGGGGAATGCAGGTCTTGTAGGTGAGGCTGGGCCCTTCCTGCTGGGGAAAAGCAGAAGAGCAAAAGTCAGTGTTGGGGGCAGAGTTGGCAAGGAAATTTTGAGGCCTGGCTTGGGCAGAATGCTGAGAAGTTTATTTGCC